ATTCTAAGCATACTTCAATCTTAAGATGGACACATCCATGCATCCTGAACGAAATTTATTATTAACTTGAAACTGCCCCTTGTTTATTTTTTCGCCCGTGTAATGGGTCTTTTATACCATTGCTTTCAGCTGTCTTCTACCTTCATCGTTTCGAGAACTTTGTGTCGCGGCTAATGCGCGCAAAAGTGCTTTACAAGTTATGGCTCTTAGAAAACTTACATTTATAACTTACGACCACTTCTTTAATCGTCAATATATTAAATTTTCTTCCATTCTTCGCGTAAATAAATATTCATAAATACATTTAGGGGAGCGACGACGTGCGTGAAAGCTCTCTCGACTATCTTTCATTCTCTCTTTCACTCTCTCATTCTTTCTCTCTCATACTTACTCTCATTCTCGCTCTCGGGAAGAACGTGTCTCGCCAATTTCGCGAGAAACTACGAATCCGCCGAGAGATAATCACATTCTCGCGCGTCCCCGCCCAAATTTCGATTTAAAATTTCTTCATGGCTTTATCCAAAAATATATATACATATATACGGTCGGTGTATACGTAACGCTACACCCTTACAACGTACATCTTTACGAATTCGGGCCACAAATTTCACCAACGAACCGTTTACTAGATCACCATGCGTTTCTTTTTTTTCTCCCGCTTCTTTATCATTGAGCGATATCCATAATCACGCAAAGGAAAGTTAACATTCGGTTGTGATCACGCGGGTTAATATTAACCGATGTTAACCTGAATTTAATGAATGATAGCCACTTTCATTCACTAATTTGCGTTTTTAACAGCACTCCGTTTCCCCGACAATTGATAGATTATAAGGCGTGTAAGCGGATTTCGCGGGACATATACACCGACTTGTTTGCTTCGTTTCGCTTTGTTTTTTTTTTTCTTTTTGCTTCTTTATTGTTACACATCCATACGCATGCTACGAACTATTTAAAAAATTTGCTCTCGCACTTTCGTTCGTTCTTCTTCAATCGCTACGTTCGTTCTCTGTTTTTTTTTTCTGGATTTTCTCACTAGTTTTTTCGTACAAAACAAAATGACATCTTTTTGGCATTGGAAGAAAAAATACACTCTTTAACGTTTATCTCTTTCTTAATCCGCCTCTCCCCGTCCCTCCTCTTTTTCGCTAATTAATCCCTTTATGGATCAGATTTCGGGTTTCTTTTTCTTCCTTATACAGGAATCTACGCAACAACTCGCCGAAGAATCGCGCAAGTATCTCGTTTAACGATTTATTAAACAAATTTCATTACGACATTCTATTTGAAAGAAATATTTAGCTTTATTTTGATAGATTTGCGCCAGCTAATAACGAGAAATATCACCGTTGTTGAAATACCACCATTGTCATTGCGTATCAGCCTGTATTTCGGACAGTTCATTATTTCTTTTCGCTCTTCGTGATAATATTGATTATTGTTATTACAAACGCCTCGCTTAATTATTTAATACTATTTTGGCATCGTCGAACTGTATAATTTTCGAGTTTCCGCTTTGTAAAAAAGTTTCTTTTTTTCCTTCAGCAAGAATAACGCATCTCTTAGGACGCATCTACTTATAGACAGATTGGAAGTTTCGTACGATGGTGTCTCGGGGTGCATTACGTGGCTAAGTATAAATTTTCGGAAGTCGATGTGGAATTTTGATTTCTTTTCACGATTGCACGCGGTTGCATCGGACGTCGCGAGAACTTACTTATTTTCTTTATCGCATTCTCGGCGATCGATCCATCAAGTCTTAACGTGGCTCGTGATTCGATCTTCGTCGCGCGAGAGAGAGATTAAGGATGCAAGCTTTCCAGCAAGAGACACAGATGACACAGTGTATCACAGTGAATCATTACATCCTTGTTGCCAATGTTAAACGAAGATGATTACTTTGTCACGCTGTGTCGCTTGGTGGGAAGCACCAAAAAGAAACAATCCTTGTTATTATGCGAAGAATAAATCTTGAAATACCCGCGACGTCCGCTAGATCCGAGAATGATCGTCACGAAACGCTTAATTAATTGTAACTTGGACAAAGGCGCCTCGTTTTATTGTATTGTCATTTCTGGCGGAATACGAGGAGGACAATAGCATCTCGCTATACATACATTAAGAAAAAAAGGAAAGAAGAGAAAAAGCCATCGGGGGGGGGGTGGAGCCCGATGCTATTCTACATTGTACTCTCACTACCGTCCTTGCTGCTCTTATCTAGAAAAATGGATCGGTGTATCGAGCGGTTTATATATATGCTTAAGCGAAAGAAACGAATCACGCCCGAAATTATCTCGTCCCGTTTTACCGTATCTATACACGTGGTTATCACGTGAAGAGAAGAAGTTGTAGCGAACTTAAGGAGAACAAAGATACGTTCTTTTTTTATTTATGTTTCTCATTTATGTTTCAAGAAGGAATCAGCATATTGAATTCGATATCAGACGTACTGCGACTTTTTCATACGTCTGGATGGGTGGCTTAGTTATCCTTGATAAATTTTTAATTTATTCAACTATTATAATATAAAAATTCCTCGTTTTATTTATTCGTCTCCAGTAGACTTTACCCTGAACTTTGTGAAATTGCGCGAACCGAGAGACAATAAATTCGAGATAAAATAAACCGAGAGAATCAAAAGAGGACTACGTTTTTTTATCCTAGGCGATTTGTAAGGTTCCGAGCAAAAAATCGACGTGACGTATTGAAATTTTTTACGTGTTACAATAGAAAACATCGATCAATCGGTGCACGGGAAGTCAGACAATCTCAACCGAAAGTCGAACCGCCAACTTGCCGAAAATAGAAAAAACGGTAAACAGTACCGTGTTCTCAAACTTAATTAATAAATATATAATATACATTAAATTAAATTACATTACTAGTTATTACTGTTGCCGATATTATTATTATTATTTATTATTATTATTATTATTATTATTATCACTATTACTATTACATGCGATAACTAATGAATGATAATATATTAATGATTCCTATAATACTCCAGTAGGCGAGGGTTGGTCGCGTCTTGCTTCTTTCTTTTTTCATTCCACCGATTTGCGAACGCAAAAGAAAAGGGACTCGACTCGGTGAACACGAACCAAAATCAAAAGCTCGCCCTTAATTCACTCCTCGTTAGCTAAAATAGAAATTTCGCGTCTTAAAAATCGTACTACGCTTATTTAAGGGATCGCAGACAGAGATATAGCGAAAATAAATAAATAAGTGGACCTCCTCGGCTACTAATCCTGCTGGGAGTTTCTGCTCGCCTCGACTTTTCTCCAGTCAGTTCTCCGCGACAGGGTATCTTTACTTACGTACAACTCAGTTTGCCTTCACTGAAGGCAAACGATGAATTTCGCGGCAACGAGAGCTGCTCTCCGGAAAGTTTTACTGTTCTATTTATTGACTCTTGCCATTGCATTATTGATTAAACCCTTACGCTCACCTAGCCCAACGTCACATTCGAGGAAAGCACCCTTTAAACTCTGCCATCAAGGTGACATTCCAGGCTTTTGATAAAGAAACATGGCGAATCCTCAACTGCCAATTCTTTTCGGAAGAGACCCGAATTCTGAATGACAGTGATGAAAAAAATATGAAAAATGTGAAGACAAAGAAGGCGTGAAATCCTGGTCACAATTAACATTATTAGGAATAACGACAATGGAATGTACATCGCGATAATCTAACGAGAGCATAATGAAACTAGGAAGAAAAGTGATCTTCATTCAGGATTCTTCCGGACTTGGAAACTTTTATGAATCAGAAGCAAAAGCCTAGATATGCCACATCAAGAAGCACCAATCTATCGTATCGAGATCCTCCGAGAAAGTTTCCATGATGACAATGGACATTTGATCCATCGGAAAGCACACTGCCAGAGGCCACGTCGATTAGCCCTGAACGTTAAAGATTATTAGCAGGATCCTGTTGCGAAACTTTGTGCTGCTCGCAACAGACTTAGACTAATAGACGATTAATATATATAAATAAGATTGAGAACAATAGAGAAGATAATGGATAAAGAGAAGATAATGGATTACAAATCGAATCTTTTCGTTTCTATTGGTTCAATAATAATGCGTCAAATCTTAGAAAACCGATCGAATTCCTTTTTGTCGCACCGAACCGATTGACCTCTCGACTACTTTTCTTTCGTTTGATGAGATATTAGATACGAATGTCATTATCCGTATTAAAAAATTAATTTTTATGAAAAATTAATTCATACAATCATCATCCTAATAAATTTACTAAATTTTATTGAATAACGTCAAATTTTGTTGCAAACGACAAGCTAGCATAAAATCGCACTATTAACTAATTGTTGTTCGAGTAAAAAGGATCAAACAAGGTGGAGCAAGCAATAAGGGAAGAACGTCAAGAACTGACGATGAAGACAACACCTAGCGTATCCAGCATATACCGCCGACCATTAGATACACCTCTACCTACGCGTCACGTGATTGTTAGATAAATGCTTTGTACTCAGCCGACCCGAAGGGCGCATGGTTAGTATTATATCGCATGCCACTTGAATTAATCGTACTTAGTACTTAGCTATGATGAGTACAAACACGTAAATAAATACGAGAATAAGAAGCGAAATGTACAAAGGCTAGAAATCAGAGATATACATTACATATCATTTAATTAATTTAAAGATTTGAGATCATTGTGTTGTGTGTCGTCGTCTGGATTTTTTTTTTTAGGATTGTGCTTGGACTTTCGCGAAAAATAGTTCAATTAACAAATATAAAAAGGTATTCTCGAAACTATCGGCCCTTTCTTCTTTGACTTCGACAGATCCAAAAAGAAATTTGGAATCTACTGTCTTTGTTAGAATCCGAAAGAAATTCGGATTTAATTGAAACGTTACGAGATATCGATTCATCAAACACGAGATAAAAATATTAATTTAATTAAAACATTATAATATAATATATAAATATAATATAATAATATGATATATAAATGTAATATTATATAAGCTTTCTTTTTTAATTTTATTTCTTAATTTTATTTAATTTGGATAATCGATATTTTTATGCAATATTCATGTACATACATGAATATGATTAACCAATTTTTTCCTTTTACTTTTTTACGAAGTCTCTAGAAAGGTGACGATAATTCTGAGATCATGTCGTGCAAGTTTCCTTGGGTACCTTGAAGTGCATATACGTTCAATATGTGCTTTTATGTATACGTGTGATATCGCGTGATTCATCATCTAGACTTCGACTAGCTAGTAAGATTACAATTCTACCAACACGAAACCGTTATACGTAGCGATATTACTTAAAGTGTACAGGGTCAGAATACGAAAATCTTCGTATCAAAGTCTTCACAAGGCGTAGCTTTCATCGGAGCTTTCCTGATACATCAATAGCCTCGATCATTACCATTGTCTCGATTTTGCAGCCTCTATCTCGATTACGAGAGTCTCTTTCGAGTTCAACTCAGTAAAAAGTCAGTATAAAACGCGAGCCCCAACAAAGAGTGATGCAATCACACTCGGCGAGGCTTTTTTTCAAGCACGTTTTTTCGCTATGTTTAAATCTTGCGTAAAACTCGAAATAGAAAAATGGCAGTGCAAAGTGTGTGTTTCTCGTTTTCGGAATAACTAACTATAACGATAATAACAATATAAAGCCTCTCATGGTAAAGTTGCCGCCTCATCATTTTATCCTCGATCGGATTTGTCGCGATTCTTCTTCAGGATCTTGTTTCTCGAATCCTTTATAGCTGATTCGATTTTTGGTGATGGCATATTTCAATACAAGCTTCGGTCATCGACGATCGAAGCTGTATCGTCCAACCTCGACTCATCCAATCGCACCACCTTCTTGGTATGGTCCAGTTATCATACATGGATGCATTGGGAAGTCCAAGTCATCGTGGTGTAAGTAGGTGATCTCATCATGAACTGTGAACTGGGGACATTTGGAATGTGCGAAAGTGGTGGAAGTGGCGTCATTTTTTCGTTTGTTGTACTACCAGGACTTGTTGCGGTAGTTGGAGTCGATGGATTGGTTGTCGACACGGACGCATTGCTAGTTGATGTTGTGATACCCAATTTTCGCAGTCGCATCTTTTCCTCCCATTCCTCCCAACCGTGCTTGGATCTGTTTAAATTGCGATGTTGATAGAACACCAAGCTAATTCTAGTCGGATTGAGTCGATTGGGTTTTCTCAGTGCAGTGGTGGCATGCATCTCGTGCTTCGCACATTCGAAGAGTACACTACCATGGCTTAAGGCAATCGCAACACCACCCATTTGAGGATCTTTAAAACATTCCTCATTCTCAGAATAGTCCGTTATTTCACCAAGTGGTTCTGCCTTCGGAGGAGGCTCTGGCAGGACCGGGAAATAAGGCGTCGATCCGTAAATATCCCACCGCGATGTATCCCACCTCGTCCAGCCGGAATTCAAACCTTGATACGTAGGGTTTAAACCTTGATACGGATATTGAGACGAATGGAAGCAACCTTCACGTTTTGGTTGTTGATAGAATTGTTCCGGTGTTTGATACGGGGATTGATTATGGTTATAGTTGTAACCTTCCCATGAGTTCGTATAAGGTTTCTCGAACACTGGATAGGGTGGATATCCGTACTGAGGAAACGTATGGTGATTTAAACCAGACATAGCATGGAGATCTTGTTTCACTTCATCAGTCCATGCGAGAGAATTCGAATTGGATATTTCTTGCTTGTTATCATAAAATCCTTCTCGCAATTTATCTTCCGTGCAACTGTCCTTCAAGTGATTAGATATACATCCGTTTTGGGCCGTGTTGCTAGATGGAGCGTCCGGAAATATAGGTTTGGAATCTGGAGGTTTTAAAAATGTTCGGGTCAAAGGATTTGGATAAGCATTAGGTTCCGCAGATAAATTCTGATTGGATATCGTTCGCGAGGGTGGTCTTCCTCTTGGCACTCGGAATGGTGATGGTTCAGACGACGTTTCCCAGGCAGTTTTAGTTTGGTCCGATCTTGTTAGTTTACCGACCCAAATCTTCTTGTCGCCCATCTGCTGATCAAATTGATGTGGATTTTTGACTTGATTAGAACACCATGAATTCGCCATATTCCAATTCTGTGGGTAAGAAACTTGATCGGCTTCCGATTGTCTGTGCGCATGATAAATGGATTTTCGCTGATCATTCGACGAGCATTGCGCGTCATTTCGTTGTTCTGGCAAATGCAAGGAATTATGTCCCAAAACATTCGAGTTTGGAGTTTCCATAGATTTATGATTACTATTTTCCATGTAAGAATATAAATTTGACGTGTTACCATCGTAATATTGATTATGATAGTTAGAATTTACAGATGGTTGCATTTGTTTCGATGGAGATAGATGTTGCATCCTATTTGCAAATGTTTGTTCAACTTGTGGCCTCAGTAATGGCGATTTTGTAGAGTTTTCAGCATCCATGTAATTTTGTGTCATTGTATCCGGGTATTTCTGCGAATTAAAATCTCCCGTATATTTAGGAGATGTTAATCTGAATTGATTAGTGACACAATCTTGATTTATATTACGTACATGAACTGGCGACTGATTCATCTTGGATGGAATATTTCGATGTGTCATCTCCATGCCGAATGATGGATTGAGGGAGCCGAATTTTGAGGGAGAACAGTCATTTTGTCCGTTGACAGAAGCAGCGTAAATTCCAGAAACCATTTGATGATCGTAATTATTTTCCATGTTTGAATGTTCCAATCCTTTTAATGGAGCCATTTTCGGATCCTGAGACGTTGTGGTACAGCCCCTGGGTGATACATTATAAGACACCTCTCCTGATATGTGCGAACGAGGTGAAACCGGATGAATTCTAGGTGAACTTCCATAACATCCTCTGGCTGAATCCACTGTAGAGTTGGGTAGATTCCTCGAGCCTGGTCTGTGTTCTTCTTGAGAAACGGTACTTCTGGGCCTAGTATCATCTAAACTGGTACTGTCTGGATCCACTTTGATGTCCCTTTCTAAACCACCAAATGAAGGATATTCTCCCCATGAATTCAACCAATTATTTTTACGCTGTTCGAGCCAGCCGTTTCGATTCCACTGTTGCTCACCTTGATATGCTCCCCATCCTTGGTACATGGACACCGGACTATCTAAGACCGTGGATGATACCTGAGAGCTCTGCAACTGCGCGTCAATTCCCTCGAACATGGGTGTCATCTCCAGTGTTAACTGCGATTGTAGCTTAGAAAAATCTACGTGTCCCGAACGTCCGGAATCAGTTATTTTTTCCGTCATAATTTTGACTGAATCTTTTTTGCTGGTCTGAATATCCGATTCATCTTCTTTCCTTTTTTTACCATGACGTCTACACGGTTGAAGAGGTACCGATCTAACTCGAACCTCGCATGGATATCTAAACAAAAAGTAAAAGATATGTTTTATGTATACGTGTAGCATTTTCCCTTCTTTTCACGTCTACAGTCATAACTATCAATAATTATGTGAAACAATTTTTTTATATAGATTATTTTTAAATACTTAAAAGATACTAACTTAGATAAAAATTCAAGTGCACCGGAGCGAACCTTCTTCTCTTGACCTTCCTTGGAACCAAATTCGTCTGTGTCATCCATTATGTAAAGAGGTAGCACATGTAACTGTTCGTCTTCGGGTTTTGATAATGTTCGATGTTTTGTTAGAGTAACTACCTGATAAACGTAATAAAAAATGTTATAATACTTATAAAAAAACAATTTCATTTTTTCTAGATACTATAGAGAAAACAATAATATTACATCGCGAATCGAATTAAATATAAAATTCACGCACCACGGTACATCCATTATTCATGTTGTGTAAATCCCGATGGGAGTGTGCACAGAAATCAATGCAAGCCGTAACACCAGAAAAAGGTCGACCTGGTTTAAATCCTAAACGACATTCGCTCGCTTCCCGCTCGAATTGAGTTTGATTATTAAAAGCCTCTGGCGCAAGACTAAGATACAAAGGTGACAAAAGCGTCGCCAGAACATGCATTCTCTCTTCAACTTCTTGTTCCTGCGAAACAATTCTTTTGTTACAATATGCAACTGTTTTTTTAGTCATTTTGATTATCTTCAAGATATTTACCTCCGATCGTACAGACAATCGAAATTTGCGGACGGTTTTACTTCTGGCATATTTGCAGCCGTTATAGTACATTGACCAGGAGCAACCAAAAGAAAAGCTGGCGCCGCATGTGTCAGGATCGAGTCCTTGGCATGCACACGTTCGCGGTTCGTTGGTACCGCACCGTCTGGTGGTTGGAAGACCGAATCGATTGAGTTTGTGACTTAAGAGAGTATAGATACGATCCGCTTCGTGAGTCGGTACTCCTTCCCAGGCAACCATAGCTACAACGATCCAGGCGGTTGGACACTTATGACCTTGACGATGTTTTACCACGGTTAAGATTTTCTCATCAATGCCGGATCGTCGAATGATCTAATAAATTTATTAATGCTACAATTTCGCGTAAGGAGAAAAACAGACGCTGTTGCTACAAATATGTTTCTTTATAATAATTACTAATACAGTAATTTCACAATTGTTTTCAGAAAATGCCTTACCCACTTGGCCATTGGACATCCTTGCGTGGTTTTGCCCTCTTTGCCAGTATAGACGACCTTTTCGAATCTTATCGCGTCGCCCTTAAGGCCAGTTCTTCGTTCGAGATCATTCCGAAGATCAGGCAGACTTGCAGCCGCTCCGAGGTGAGTGTAGTACGAACCGGGCTCTGGCGGACCTTGTGGTTGAACCACATTTTATTTACGAGCGGCTGACACGTAAACGAAAGGAAGTAACGGAAGCGGAAACATTTATGCCGTGCACATAGTAGATACGACCTTGCGAATAGGGTTACGTTAGGTACACACATTCTCCTCCGGATTTCAGGATGCATAACCGGTTGGTGTTATTGGTAATAAAATGTATATTAGTATGTTTATTAACTTTCTTCCATGTGTTCTTTCGTGGTTAGTGTGCTTTTTCAATGTTAGTGTAGTACGGAATACGTAATTGTAACTCACATTTATCGGCGGGGAAGCAGTTGCAGTCCGGTACTTCGGTCCTGACATTGTTCTTCAATTTGTCCAAGTGATCTTGCAACTTTGTCGTCACAGTCGTCGTAGTTGGAGTATGCGGACTATGTGGTCCTTCATTTTTTAATTCAGCTTTTTCCATGGAATCGTCTAGTATTTCATCCTTGGTTTGGAGACCCTGACAACAGCCGTCTCTTAGGTGTTCAGGAGTCGGCTGTTCGGTCCCGCCTCTTCGACAGCACCACGAACCGGTACCCGGCGACACCTTTGCGGGTCCACCATCGCCGCGAAACTTATAATCTCGAGTAATCTCTTGATTCTCTTCGTTCTCGATTATGTTGGATGTATCATGGGATACGTGGACATAATTATGTTCTTCGATGTTCTCCTGTTTAATTAATCGGTTAGAATCGCATTTATCTTGGAAAGATATATTCCGATCAGCAGCGTTTGTCGTCTTCAAAAAATCCAGATTATCGCTTTTTATTCCATCATTTTTGGATATCTTCTGGGACTTCTCGAAAGACGTATCCTCAATTTGATCCATGCACAATCTTTGTTGGAAAGACTTGTCGTCGATCTCTTGATCTTTATCATTTCTTCCTTCTGTATCCCAGGAATGTTGATCTTCGTCTTTGTCATATGATTGACTCTTATTTTCTGTAGTAAGCTTCATAAAATTTTCGAAAACTGTCATTCCATTTTCTGGTAATGCGGAATTATCTTTATTATCAATATCGTTATTATTGTGATTATGTTCTCCTTCCGTCCATTCCCATAAGCCACCACCGTCGGGCAAATTTTCTACCCGAGGGTGGTGGCTATGCAATAAAAAATTACCGGTCAAGTTTTCATTAGATTGCGTCATCGAAATAATATTTGATTGATTGATAAAATGATCCGTGCGTTTTTCTTGCATCTTCTCGTTGCTTTCATGTGCATCGCGTATTTGATCGTCCGTTGGATATTCCGAAGAAGATCCATTATTGGTATTAGTATGTTGTGATTGCATCTGATGGTGTTGATGGGTTTGCTGTTGTTGCTGTATTTGCTGCTGCTGTTGTTGCTGCTGCTGCTGTTGTTGTTGTTGTTGTTGTTGTTGTTGTTGTTGCTGCTGCTGCTGCTGCTGCTTATTCAAAATCATCGATTTCAATCGGCTATTAAGATTTACTCGATTGGATTGAGCATAAACATGGCTTTCCGAATTATCTTGATTTTCCGGAAATCCGTTCGGTTTACTAGTATCTACTGTTGTTTGTTGTTGCCATGCAATTCTCTCTCCTGAGTTTTGCATGTCTTGCTTTGTCGTCTGTTGTCCCCAAGTCGGTTGAGTTTCCGATACAGAACTTACAGGCGACCAAGACATTTGACTGTCCAGTTTATTTTCTTGTGACAGCTGATTTTGCCATTGATGACTCGGAGTCCGTCTAGGACTGGGCTGCGAATCTTGCCATTGTTGCTGTGGCTGTTGACTATTATCACTTTTTATGCTATTTGGTGACCAATTCGGTTGACTAGTCGGCGTGTCAGGCCACGATATTTGATTGGACGGTGTGAGTCTGGGATTCTGCTCCACCTTGGTCTGCTGCGGCCACTGCTGTTGTTGCATCTGCTGTCCGGAAGGCGTCAATCTCGGATTCTGTTGAGATCCTTGCATTTCCGGACTATTTTGCTGCCAGCTACGTTGGCCAGATGGCGTCATCCTCGCATTTTGTTGAGCATTACTGTGTTGGTGGTCTGACAGTTTCGGAGAGTGCTGCAGCCAGGTCTGATGTTGAGACGGTTGCTGATTGGATGGCGTCAACCGTGAGTTTTGTGGATCCCTTAGCTTTGGACTCTGTTGCGACCAGTTTCCCTGAGTTTGTTGTTGCTGGTTGTCGGCGTTTTCGGACCACGATTGTGGCGTTTGAGGTTCCTTCACGCTTCCAGTCTCCCAGCTCATGTGACTCGCTGGTCTTGGCAGTTCCTGTGATTGTATTTGAGTAGTTTGTTGCTGTTCCACCTGAGACTTCATGTTGCCTTGCATATTTTGTTGCTGTTGGTGTGGAGGTTTCTGTGACTGTTGCATCGCTCTTTCCTGCCAATTCATGTTGCTGTTGACACTACTGCTCATTTTTCCACTTGTGTCTGACCATACATGCTGTTGATTATTGTCGATCACCGATTGTTGTTGCATTTGTGTTTGTTGATGTTGTTGCTGCGAAACCATTTGCCATTGATTCTGCGTTGATTGTTGACCCATTTCCACATAGCCTGGATACCCGTTAGAGTTGTGTAAACTCTGTGGGTCCGGTTGAAGTGGATACCCAGGCATCTCGTTTCCCGACACGTTAGTAGCGGCGATCGTCGCAAATCCCTTTACTTGAGTATCCGCGGCAGTTTGTTGCTGCTGCTGCTGTTGCTGCTGCTGCGATGGCTGCTGCGGACCTCCTTGTGGTTGTTGCTGACTGTCCATATGCACTGAGCTGCTGCGACTCGTCGGAGTTGTCGACGGAGGCGGCGCCATTGTCACGTCCTGCAAGAAGCCCCGTTTTGCGGTGTGTAGCGTTCGTTGCAAATGCTTCATATGATTCTTTAGAATGGCTATCGAAATAGGGACAAATACGAGAAAATTGTGAGAAATGGATCCGCGCGAATTAAAAAACATAAGTGAAAATTGGAGCTACATATTTATTAATCAAAAACACTTACTTGTTGTTGATAGCCATTTACATAGTCTTGTCGCTCGTAAGCAACTGATTGATTAGTGGTAGCCGAGGGATCTACAAATTGTCCATTCAACTGCCTCTGAGGTGTCGAAACCACTGCCTGTCCTCCGACAGGGGTCAACGGTGAAGGTTGCCCCGTGATGGTGTACTGTCCCGTCGTTCCAGCTCGTTGAAACGCAGATTGGTCCGTCGTTATAAATGTTTGTTGCTGATACGGAACTATAATATTAAAATTAATACGTTGATATAGACACGCGATCTTACATGACATGACATAAAGATGGTCATGTCTCTCATGAAAAACATTCAGTATATACGGTAGTTTAAAAAAACAGAAATTATTTCGGACAACTTTAACTTATTCCTTTTCTAGAGTGATACAATGATTACCGAAAAACTATATAATAAATGTCCTTGTTATTTCGCAAGCATTGTCTGTTTCGTATTGCTATTATTTCGTTTGAGTTTCATTCACCTGCTTGAGGATGATAAGGTGTTGCGCCTCCATACTGAGGATGATACCTCAACTCTTCGAGTTGATTTGGTGCGGGAATCTGCTGAATGAATTGCTGAGGTGGCCACGGTGCTGGTGATGTTTCGACCGCTACTGTGCCAACTGGTCCGACTCCCTGATGCCAAACCGTATTTCCAAATCCAGCTGTGGGACGGAAACCGGCGCCGGAATCACCGTAAAACGGCATTACTCCGGGTGACTGCGCATAAAGAGAATGGACGAATCGTCGTTTAATTTAACGTCGTTTTCTTCAGACCGTGAAATTCTTTGTTAACGTATCGAGAATTGAGGATTAAAATTTGAATGGGGAATTTATATTAGAGGTGGCATTTTTACCTTGCGCTTTGTTTCACTCATCTATAAATGTAATTCTGGCACATATATAGTTTTGTAAAACTATTTTATAATGTAATAAACAACGATAACGGCAATAGCTGGAGATAAAATAACGTGCCACGTGTTTAAAAATGGAGCTGTGCGAATTCACTTTCGTTTATTTCCATTCGCCCGACTATTCTCTCGGCTTTGTCTGTCCCGCGTTTTCTCAACGAAATAGAGCGAGAGAACAGCGCGCGCGCGCGCACGCGCAAGAGAGAGAGAGAGAGAGAGAGAGAGCTCGGCGAGCTGGGATGGAACGACGGAGACGGCATCGAAGGGAAAAAAAGGACGTATGGAGGCACAGCGAGGTAGAGAAGGAATCGTCCGCAACGATGCGAGTCGAAGGAGAAGAAAGAGCCGGCAACCTCGCAGCCAGACTGTAAAACTTTGTGCAAAACGAGAGTCAGAACGATTGGTTCGTTCGTTCGTTTACCGCAGTCGATCTTTTGTCATCCATTCACAGCGGTTTGCCCCATAAATAACTAACGAGTGACACATCCTAGTCTTTAGAAACGAGACCGAGATGAACATTCAAACTTCGAACAGCAAAGCAAATTCGTTTTTAGATCTTTAGGTAGTCGGGAGGAAATCGTATTTGCTTAATCATTCTAAATTGATGCTTAGCTATCGAGTTTCCGTATGAGCAACCTCCGTTAAGCGATTACACACGTGGCTCCAAAATCCAAAAGCGCTGATAAAGCACATCGCGCTCGCAAATAGATAAGAGGCTTAGATCCTGCGTTTGTCCATGCACTTATATGCATGCGATAGAAAGCAATTGTTAATGTCAGAAAGAAGCAAGTGTGAACCCTTTCTGTCCATTTAACGCGTTATCGCATATGAGCTATTGAATCAAACGGCTCGTGCCGAACGTTCGATCTCACCGAGAGTCGTTTATCTCAAAGCTTGGGGGAGTCGACCCCCTCCCCCCCCCTCTCTCTGTCTGTCTTTCTCTCTGTCTCTCTGAGAACCCTCATAGTGACCGTGAATCGGTGTTTGTGGTCGAGGCTGATAGCGTCAAAGAGCTGGGCGTTTCGCCAAGCGTGGCACGGGATACCTTCGGTATCATCCTCCTTCTCTTCCATCTTACGCGCACATTGCACACGCACGCGCGCCCTGTCTCTCCCTCAGGGAGAAAATCCTTCCGTTCTCGTGGCATCGTGACCTAGGGCAACCTAAGACCCTGGCGTGATAAAACGGAACGTTTTGTGACAGCACCCAAACATGACCCTCGGGAGCCAAGTTGCCCTTCCGGCGGATATTCACGGGAGAGTTTGTCGACCCCGGCCGCTCTTCACTTGGCTCTTCACCCACTCCCCCCCGTTTTCTCGATCTTACCACCGTGGGTGAGTTCAACCGCGTTTACACAGTCACTGTAAATCGATGCAACGCGACGCGTGCCTGGATCTCAAAGAGGGAATTTTCAACCGCGGGAGAAATGGAGGAGGGAAACAGGTGTATCCTCTCGCTTTCTGCGAACGTTCGCGTGCGGCTAAACCGCATGTACGTGGCAACGGGAACGCAATTCGCAATTTGCGCACCGCCAACGATCAGACGGCGGCATTTCGCGGTTTCGGTTTATTGCATAATTGGACGCTCCGACGAGTACGACCCCGCCGTAACGTTGATTCCTTTATCGCCGCGGCATTAGCAATTATCGTGCCGCGTGCGACACCGAATGTGTTTGCCGCAGTCGGATATAGCCGCGTTTAAACGTGCGAAATGCACAATTAACGCCGAGCGTAGACATCAATGAGAACGCTCCCGCGTTTAAATGCAACGCAGAAAGGGAGCGACACGCCAACAGATTATATTTTGTAACCGTATGACGTATATCGTATTTCGCGAATGTACAAGTTTATTACCTCTGGAAGTGATATCGATATTGCAACAATAAAGCTAACGATAAAGATAACAAATTGGACGTTTATACATACGCACGCATTTTACGCAAATGTTGAACGCTACACGAAATATATCGAAATATTATGCAAATTAAGATGACCGCGGCTGCGTGTGGCAAACGTTCCGATTAATTGACAATTTGAATTCGGGTGAATTAATAGCATTGATTATATGATGTATCTTGGGATTGTATGATGCAGTTGCGACTTTCGGTTCGATTTTTTAATTGAAGATGTAATTGATGATTCGTAATTTTAACTGAACCTTTTCTTCGGCTCCTCGCTGGCAACGAGTCACCAGATGTACATAATTAATTGTATAGCTCGTCTAAAATATTTATGTGAATCATTTTTTGAAATATTGTATTAAAATATTTCACAAAAATATTTTAGAAGTATTATACAAATATTCTAAGAAAAAGAATACTTTTAAAAACTCGAACTTTCCGGACATATTTATATTTTAGAAAAATTTCATGTAAAATTTCTGAAATGTTTCGAAATCCTGTAATGAAATAGTTTGCAAATATTTCTAAAATATATCATGTTGGTACGTTCTACCGCTTAAGTTTTTTTTTGTGTGCCATAGACTTCCTAGTCGACAATAATTTAAAACATCAATGTTACAATTTCACACTCAACAATATAATCGTTATGTAACACCGTGTGTGTCATATCTATATTCTTGACATTACTGCAATATTGAGGGGATAATTTGAGATTTTTGTCTGAAGAACGCTTAGTAAGTTCAATGTACACTGTGTGGAAGAATTAAAAGATTCGTTTCGATGAACAGAACGGTAAAAAAACGCGTTTCAATTGCAAGATTACGAATTTTTATCACCGGCGCAATACACGATATGCAGTATCCCTCTTAAGCTTGCGCCAGACTATGTGCGATTCGTAGTGATTCGTGCCCTTTGATTTCGACAAAACCACTTCACTGGCGCATTGGCACGAATGGTAAACGACGAATGCAAATTCGACAAATATATGTCCATTTGCACTATTTGCAAATCCCATACGAATAGCAAATTGCGAATTTCGTACTGCTTCGTATCACGAATCGTGCACAGTCTGGGACTAGTTTCATCCATATATCGATATGTAATTTATTTCATTAAAGAATACACACGTAGAGAATTTCACGTGTCACATAGACGAACGACCGACCATGTGGAGATGATTCATTTATCGTTCAAATTGCGCGTCCCAGCACCCGCGATTATTTCGAGGATGCGCAATCGTTCATTGTTACGGAAAAAAAAAAATGGTAAGAATTATTAATAATATTACGAAAAGTATCTTTCAACCGTAATATGAGTACATAACAAAAGTAGGAAATAAAGATTTTAAATGATCAACCTGGATTTTTAGTACTTAAATTCGATGTAAATTTATATACTACACTCTAAAATCTTTGGAGTAAAATTTAACTCTAAAGAGTGACAATTGAGTCAGTGTTGAAAAAGAGTGGCTCAATTGCCAATTTTTTTTTTTTTTTTTTTTTTTCAAAAAAGATGAGATTTTACTCTTTCGAGTTAAATTCCATTCTGGAAGATTTTAGAGAATCGAATCCACTCCTACAAACTGCGCGCCGAATTTAATTGTCAATCTTGAAACGCAATTCTAACAGAATTATTAAAACGTGTATTAAAAGAATCTCCATATAGGAATCGCGAGGACGGTCTATCCCGGCATACCTCGGCGTACCCCTGCGACGCGAGCGGCTACCCTTGCCGGCTTCTATCGTATCGTTACTTCTCTGCTCCACCTCTTGATACCGCTCGCTTTTCATCGCTTCTCTCTTTCTCTCCTTTCGTCCCCGGGATACGTCGTTCTCCTCTTCCCCTCTCTCTTTCTCTCTGTCTCCATCTCTTTCTATCTCTCTCCGTCTCTCTCGGTAGGTCGGTGGTTCCTGTTCCTGCGGGTATTGATTCGCGTTGGCGGCCGGTCACCGCCCCCGCACTCACTGTCTGCCGGTAGTCTACCCTTGCCCTCCATGTTACGCCGCTATTTCGGCAGTCGATTCCTTTGCAGTCATGGACCGTCGCGAGCAACGTCGCTTCGCGAACGTTAAAATTGCTTTTACATGTCCTAACCGGCCCAATTTCACCTTTATAAGGTGATCCTTGTAAAATCTCTTTACATAGACCGGTATTCTTAGTCCATTCTTATTTTAAGACCATCTTAAGTAATGTCTTAAGATGCTAATACTGTTCTCTGAATTGAATCATGACATCTTAAGATTACATTTAAGATAGTCTTAAATATAAGACTCAACTATGATAGCGCGGCCTAAGATTTCCAATCTTACTAGAATTTTCTTAAATCGGTGTCTTAGGTGCACATTTGGTTTTGAGTCTTTATCGCAATAGTATTTATTATATTATAATAAAAGAGAGAACGCGATGATGAGATTCATCATTATTCGTGTAATTGAAACAATTCTAATAGAGAGATTTAAAACTTACCATGGATACGACAGGTGGTGGCGGGTTGCCGTTTCTGAGGGCGCCCGTTTGTTGGTTCGCCGCGGGATTGAGATTGTCCTTGGTTTGCTGCATGGGATCAGGCTGGTGCAAAGATTGTTGCGTTTGTTGTTGGTGCTGTTGCTGTAAACCGCCAATACCACCCTGCGGGCTGCCGAGACCAGCTGGTGCGCTATCAGGTGTGCTAACCTGCCGTGCGATTTTCCGGTAATTCTGCAACAAACATTGTCGCATTTATTTTTACGTGTCTCGCACATAATAAGAAACTCGTGGAAAACTCTACAATTTGAAAAATTATTTTAGTGTATATTCTGAAATTAATTTACATTGGCACATAATTTGAATAATATATGTAAAATCTTGTGCAAATTTTTTTTCTCTATGCAAAAAAGACTTCTTGACTCTAAACGTAGGTTGATCGAATTTATGATTGAATTTATGACTGAAATCAATAGCATGGAAACGATGAGTCACGAAGGGTCTTGAGAAAATTAGACTCAAATCGTAGGAAGAAAGGATGGTACTAAAGCCAGCTATACGGCAGTGGTGACCCTAATGCTAAAAATAACGACACCGCTTAAGTAGGCCGAGGCGGCTGAAATGGTTTCCATAGTTCAACAAGCATCGTCAACTAAGCTGATATTCCCTACAAATGTCTCCTTTCACACCTCCTTTCGAATTTGACTCGCCATGACGTAGTCGGATTTTTCAAAGCTTGATTTGTCAAGCATCAAAAATGCCTTTGCATTTCGATATACGACGTATTAAATATGTATTATATTATGTATCGATTTATAAATAGATAGGGGCCAAGTGGGACCTACGCTGAGCTCGCAAGGAGAGCTTCTTTCCCTTACGGAACATTTGTCACCCAGTGAGTTGCTTGAATCAGCATTTCGAAATTTCCATTCATATATGCCACATTATGTGAAAAATAAAATATTAAAATACTATTCTTTTCATCTATAACAGAACAAATTCCGAACGTTGAACGATCAACGGCGATTCTAAAGATGTAATGTATAATCACGACCGTAAGTCTTTTTATAAAAAATTTCCCACATTGTAGATCTAAAGAGATCCATTTTTTCATAAAAACAAATAAAAGAAGAAAAAGGAAAGAAGGAAACGGAAAAAGCCTTTAAAAAGCTGCCGCTTTTATGCCTCATGCACGTTGGGTCAATAAACCTTTATTGAATATGTCCAAAAGGGAATGATGGTTTCATTGAAATGTCAGTCATCGATTAGTAAGATGTAAGACAAGACGACTGACCTTTTTCAGAGAGACGGTTCGGATTAGCTGGTACTCTCTCATCGTCTACTTATTTTAGATCTTGTTACGATTCACCTTCTCATACAGATGTGGGCGAATAGCCAATTATCCAGGATCATCCGCGCGTAGAGTTTTCAAGATTCAGAGAAAGACAGGAGAGAACTCAGTTCCCGCTGCAGTTCTTCGCTTCATTTTCGATTAATGTTACTATATTCGAAACATTATATAGAAATATTTCACGATAAGTTGGAAAATACCCCTCCCTAAAGCTTTTAGAGTGAACTGTCACTCCAAAAGTGAAGAATAAAATCTTATTTATCAAGATTATAAAAACTGAATAATTTTGTTTTCAAGATTGGCCCAGTTTTTCACTCTTTAGAGTGAGATTTCCACTCGAAAGAATTTAGAGAGAGCAATATCGAGCATCGTTAACGTTTGTCCTCATATTGAGGACTCATCGACAGTGATATTTTCATTACCAATGATAATCGAGTCGAGATTAGCGCAAATGTTGACAGATTTGGATTGCCAATTACTACGAAGCTCGTATTCCACACAGAGCAGAGAGCTCTGGAAATAATCGGGCATGAAGCTCTGTGTCAAACCACGTGGCTGGCGCGTGGGCATTGACCGACCGCCACCAACCGATTTCAACGTCAACGTCGGCCATTCCACTCGTGGTGATTCACATTTTGTTGACTTAAGCCAAATGAAAGTATAAGTACATACGATACTATCGCTTCGTTGCGCTCCTTATTTTTCCTTCATACATTCTGTGCAACGCGACACGACTTTCGACACCAATTTATTTTAGAAAGAAATATTAATATACACGAAGTAATACGTGAAGAAATAGTTTCTTTTTATCAAGAATAGAGATTCGAAATTTAGAGTGTAAAATTCCGTGTGGATGATCTCTCATTTATTAAATTATCACCCTAGTAGAAGTTTTTGCAATTTAGTTACTTGTTACGCCTCTAACAAGTCAGTGGATATTTTATTCTTTCCCGAGCGTCTCATACGAGTAGCTTCACTCAATCGATCGCATTACTCGCAGGTCAACGCGTATATTTTTCTCCGTTATAGATCACCTTGATCGTCGTCTGGTTTCTGCGCGCGAGTGCGAGCGCGCGCAGTGATGGAACAGCAAAAAGTTAATAAACGAGCGGAATTCGTGACGTTTCGTCGGACCGCCGATAGTGGCGGAGGACACGTCGTTTGACCTAAATTCCGCGAACACGATAGACGAATGCCGACTTGCGTAACCGGCAGAGCACAATTCGCGAAGTCGAGTTTCGCGCTCACCGTTGATCCTTGAAGCGCAAGGGCCGCGTTTTTGTTTTGTAATCCGACGTGTTAGAATTGTAACACATCTCTACAGCAGCGAATCGTTATGATAATTTATGCGAAAATTGAATTGCGGTCTATTAAAGAATACAATAAAATGAAAGGCCGATTCTTGCAAAGCAATAAGTAATAAAGATTATGAGATCATCAGATGATGAATATGTAAGACTGTTATAAATGTAATGTATATACTTAAAAATATGGTTTCGACCGGAGTCTTCTTATTATTAGTCAAGAGCAAATGGTTATAACATCGCGTAAAAATTTGTAAATAAAAATCAATACGAATAAAAACGATTGCAGGACAAATAGAATATATTGTGTTCTATTTTGTCCTAATCATTCTTATTTATATTAATTTGTATATTTATTGAAAAAAAAAAATTATTTTAAGCAATATGTTACAACTCTTTGCTCTTGGCTGATAAAGAAACTTACATTAGTATAATAAAAAAATAATACATTATTGTTCTATTTTAAGAGCGAATACATTAAATTTATAACTGGCTCTTATATTTCTTTCTATTGTATTAAATCAACTTCGACAACAATCGATAACGTAATCTAAGCCTGCAGCTTTGTATAAAGTTAATTTAGAGAGAGCGTTACGTACAGGCTAAATCAATTAAGCGACCAAGTTTTGTTTCGAATCCGATTGCAATTTTGTAAAGATTTATATAACAGAGTTACGCGTGACATTGAATAGAAAAAAATATGAGCTATCGCTTAATATCACATTCACATATACAAGTAGCTCGAGGCTCGAGGCTTTTTATGAATCATTCGGTTTCTTTTTCTTTGTACACGTCGTGAAGGAATCGTATTGCGACATCGTAATCCATCGCTATCGCTTCGAGTCTCTGAAGCACTCCAAAAATATAAATATGACTGCAGACCGATGACGAAATATCAAATCGTCAGATATTTCTCATATTCTCCATTCTGTTTTTGCCGATTTCTCAATTCATTTAATCTATTTAATGTAAATATAGACGGTGTAAAAATACGATTCATCGAGTTTTGCCGAGCCGGCCGGTCGAAGAGAAGCGGGAGTTGTTGCGCTCGTGGAGAGGTGCGCTCCAAACACGTGCCAATTGCGCACTGTCGAGTGCCAAGAGATGAATTAAAAAGGTAATATTTCGTCGTGCAATCTCGAATAAAAAGGAGAGAGAAAGGGGGAGACTCACTTTTTCGCGACAACGTTCGTTTACGGGGCAATGCTTCGCGCGTTGAAACACACTCGATCTTCTCCTCGAAAATCTTGCCTGGAAGCACTTGAGAAACACAGAATGGGATCACTCCGTAACCGACTCCAGTACGAGCCAAGTTACGTATGTATGTACATATGTCGTACCCTACGTTTATTCTTCGCGCGCGCACCGTGTGACTCCTCTCTCTCTCTCTCTCTCTCTCTCTCTCTCTCTCTCTCTCTCTCTCTCTCTCTCTCTCTCGATTTATCGGCAGCGACACCCACACCAGCGAGGTAAGAAACCCGTGCCAGAAACTGCTGAGAAACTGCTTCCCACCGGAGAGGATTCGCGCCGAATACAACCCTGAGTGCGCTCGAACTTGTTCAACTAACCGATCGAATCGATCGCTCTCACACTCACGAGAGAGATCACTCTGGTCGCGGAGCGATCCGCCGAATAACTCCCATGAGACGCCTCTCCCTTTTCCTCCGGTAAACCCCGTCTCTCTCTCTCTCTCTCTTTCTCTCCCACTCAGAGAGCACGAGCGCGCAATCGCACGTGTGGGTGTGCGCGGTCGTGCCTCGTTGTTTCTCTCCCACGACTCGCTTCCCCTTATCTCCCCACTGGGGGCCTCCGCGTCGCGCGTTATCGCGGCGCGATATCGCGAATTCCTGCGTCTCCTCGCGACGCGCCGATTTCTGCCATGACGGTACGATCGGAAGTATGACCAAGGAAGGTCCAATCAAGGAGTATCCCTGTAGAATACACAACATCCATATTTTTTCCAGCGAGACACGATTTTTTTCTGACGTCAAATCTTCGACGATATACCGAAGAAAAATTGAAGTGGAAGAATTGGATTGTAAAATTGGTCAGGGGATGATTACGTTTGACTGCCTCTCGTAATTATATCTGAGGATTCAAGAGTGATCAGTCGAACTCCTGACCGCTACATTGATCGCTTCTTCCACCTCGACATCTTCGAACGTGTAAACAAGCTTCGGCGGTCTACCTCTCCATCATGAAACAACGACACGACGCCGTTTCTTCCATGTAGAACAGCTCGCTTCGCTCGGAAACGCTCGTGCACGCTCGTGTCGATTTTACATGACCCCCCGCTCTTCTTCGTGTCCTTCCATTCCCTCTTTTTCTGTACTTTTGTTTTTCTACGGCTCTTAGTCTGGCGTTTTCAACTGTCTGGCGTTCCTAGCTAACTAAGTGTATTCAACTGTATCCAATATTTCTTCGGTATTCAAAAAAAGAGGAAATAAAGCGCCATCGATTTAGTAATAAATCAGGATGACTTTTAGTTATGGTTTTAGATTTAGCTGAAAAACGAGTAAATAAATTCAAATAGAATTATTTAACCACTATAAAGATTCAGCTTGAAGTTTGAGGCCTTTATTTCTAATTTGTGTATTCACATTATGATTAAAAAAAAAAAATACTATAAAGCTTATATGCCATATTCTTAACATCGACATTAAATCAAGTCTTGTTTATATATAATATATATTATATATATTATATATATTATATATATTATATCGCACTTTATACATTTCATCTGTTAAAAACGATTATCGACCTTAGTCCATCATTGTTTATTGTTTTCACATAACACAAGAGTCTTTTTATTTAAAAAATACCATATTTAATATTGTCAAATAATATTTGTTGGCTTAAAATCTTATTACGTCGCTTCTTAATCCTCCCGAGTTGAGATGCATCCCTCCCATAAGTTTTCTCACAATGTTGGAAGATTAAACTACACCTAACTACTCAAACTATGCTATATTTCAACAATATTATATTACGTGTATACCTACATTATATTGTATATTATAGGTCTGACAATTTTAACGGCATTATTTACGAGCGTAGGTAGATTAAACTTTCCATAATAGCTACGCGTCTCGTAATAATAATAAGAGGGGAAAAAATATCGGAGTATTATACGAGAAAAACACGCTTCAGGTATTGGCGGGACGACGTCGTGCTCCAACAGTGAAGTCGCGGAGAAGAAAGGAAAAACAAAACTTGCGTCGCGAAATTGCTATGGCTCTCCATAGGTAGACGATGGGAGCAATAGAGGGGCCGACGTTGGC